TGCAGTGTATGCTTGTACGATTTTAGACATCGCCGTGTAGCCAAGCAGTACTGAGCGGCCCAAATGGAGGGTGGTATTCGCCCAAGAAGGCAGTCGATCCTTATTGGACAGCGATCCTTGGATGTATACGCAGAAATTGACCAAGGTATAAAAGTGACGTTCAAAAGTTTGCCCTTTCATCCAGTCCAATGCTATGTTCAGGACCAAAATTTGTCCGATGGATAATCGGAATATTCAGAAAATGGGGATTTTTTATCGCTGAATGGCCATGGACTGCTATTTTTCTATGTCTAATTGTTTCCGTCTTATCGACGGTCAAAATCATTATGACTCCGTGAGTGACTTAAGGATCGGTCTCGATTACAATCTAATTTATATAATTCAGTCAACGGAATGAAATTACGGGATACACGCCTTATGGTGCTCGAGCAAAGGATGAGTTCCTGGAGTACCAGAACTTCTTCTCATCAAAAGGTGAGTGCGTAAGCTATGCTACTAGTCCTGCTCATGTAAGAGTTGTTATTGATTTGCTTCAATAAAGTCAGGCCAGCTAAGCAACAACCTTAATTTGATATGTGCTTAGAAGTTTTGTACGAAGGGATATTCGAAGTCAACTATAAACATCTCGCAAAGACAGTAACGAAAGGAAAATTTGAGGAGTTGCTGGGAAGTTGGAAAAATTGAAAAAAAAAGGAAAAGATACAAAACTGCGGTGAAAGGACTAACACCTTTTACTAATAATAATATTTGATTTGATTTCTTTATGCAGTAGCAAAACTCCGATTTTCATTCCAATAGTCCGAGGCGTGAAGGTACTCTAGAGTGTTTAACATGTAAAGCCCTACAGGTGGCATCTATTGAGAAATTCATATCTTTTAAGTCTTACAATTAAGACCTTGCTATAATTCCCAGAGCTGTTTTTCAAGAGCTTTACTTAACTCCATGCTATTTTTTCTTCCTATGTCAAAAAATATATTAAGAATGAAAACCTGTTGGGCGAGGTTTGGTGCTACAGCGTGTCCTGGACATATAAAGTTGGACGCCTGTCTTAAGATCGGTCTTGTAATGATTCGATAACGCCCTTTTACAAATGAGTGGCGAAATGAGGACGAAACGTAGGATGAAACACAGATGAAGATGTTACCAATTACCAAAGTGGCTCAAAATTAGATGATCGAATCTTCCAGAAACATTGCAGGTGATGTTTCTGGGTGCGCAAGTGACGTCTTGGACTT